AGTCTCAAAGCCTGCCCCGGTTCTTGGCCCAGCCCCAGCCCCAGCTCCTTCCCAGCAGGATCCTCTCGCTGCATGGAGAAGGGACCAGAGCCCCTGTTTACTGGGATGCCCAGGAGCATCTCCAGCATCCGAGTGGAGGTGAGTGGGGGCATGGAGAGCTCTGCCCCCAGCGCTCTGCCTGCTGCCCAGGGCTCTGATGAGAAGGGAGAACCGCCTGGTTTTTCTTCTTGCTAATCAATTCCCCCATTAGCAATGAATGCCTCACTTTTGATTTGCATCTGCCTGGCTTCAGCTTCCAGCCACTGGCTCCCAGGCATTTGTCCGCAGGACTGAGATGTCCTCAGGTCCTGGGAGAGAGACAGGTTCCTCCTGTTGAGAGGGACCGCAGCAAGTCCCCCCTCAGCCATCTCTCAGGGACCCTGAACAGGTTAGGCTCTCACCCCCAGACATTTTGTTCAATCCTTGTATCATGTTCTGCCCTTTCCCCAGTTTGTCAGAGTCCTTTCTTTAACAAGTGGACCGCAGACATGTCTGCAGCACCCAGGACTGGTTTCACTCTGGCCAGGGGCAAAATCCAGCTCAGGTCTGATCATAGATATAGTTTCATTAATTTGCCTATATATGTTGTAAATACAAAATCAGGTTGTCAGAGCAGACCATAAAGTCAGGTAAAGAAGAAACAGGATGAGCATTGCACAAGGGGGAAGGAAAGGAGACAAGAACCCCTCCCTCGTTCCCTAGGATAGAAATCCCAAATCACTGACACTTGCCAAGTCCACAAAAGATCTGGTTCAGTCCAGTTCCAAAAGTTTCAGTGAAACAAAGACATTTAAATCAGACCAATCAGAGGTCTCTTATTAGAATATTAAAAGCAGCCACCTATAACTATTGGGCATGGGCTGGAGGGATATTTAGAGAGATCAGCAAATTCAAGAAGACTTGCATGCCACCCTCCTCTCACCTCTCGAGGCTCCCCAGCTGGGATAGGCGAGAGTGCACGCGGTGGTGTTATGGGCAGACAGATACACTTTGGGATAAAGGCATCTTCTAATGTTTTAAGATGCAAGCAAGTAAGTAGAAGTTGGGCTGTAGACCTGTTTCTCCTTCTTTTCTCAGTGGTCCACCCACAGTGACCTCTAATTTAGGTAACAGAACAGACAGCCAACTGGGGGCCCAGGTTGCTGTGTGGTAGCACAGTTTGCACTTTGTTTTTTGGTGAGATGTTGGCAGCTTGAGTTTTGCCCCACTGGTACAAGTCAGTCGTCTGGCATGGGTAGCACTAATACCCTGCCTGATAACGAGGGAATGGAGGAGCATCTCAAACAAGAGTTATCTGAGATGGGGGATCAGGATGGAAACAGGGCACATTTCATGCCCCAAAGTCCTGGAGGACCCTCTGTGAAGAATGGGGTGGGTGAATTAAAAAGAATTAAAAAAGGGGGAAATGCAGGAAGAAGGCAGCTCTCCTTTAAGGACTGCACATGGTTGCAAAGGGGACACCTGAGAAGGTACAAACCTGGGAGGAGGAGTATTGAGATGTTACAGCACAGGGAAAAGCCCCAGAGGATGTAGGTAAGCAATTAGGGGCAGAGGTTTTACACCTGGACGGCCGGGCTTGAACGCACGGCGTTCGTCTCCCAGCTGCTGACCGACAAGTCAGCTCCGGCAGTCAGAGGCAGCTCAATGAAGTGCCAAGCTGGAAAACATACAGTCCCACCTGGAGGGGCGTCTCCCCGTGAGGGGGGAGGGGCGCCTGCCGGCACTTCCACAGGGAACGGGGACGATGACCCTGGTCATCTTACACCCAACACGAGTGTGGAAATGACCGGTGTAGCCCAGAGGGGGAAAGCAAGCTCAAACCAGCCCCATGGCTCCTACATGACTTAAAAGTGAAACTGCAGATCATGGAAACCAAAATCTGGAACCGAATCAGCGACGTGCCCTGGTAGCACTATAGCCAAATTACTCAGGATTATGTCGTACATTGGCTTTTAATGGAGGACACAAAAAGACAGCCGGTGGGCTCACAACCAGAGATCTGATCCGGGTGTTGTGTCGCTGTTTGCCACCCGGTAACTGGGAGGAGCTCCCAGACACAATTAATCACAGGCAAGAAAATGCTATCAACAAAGTGCATGGAAGGGCGGTGTGTGCGCGTGTGTGCGTGTGCATCCTTGGAAAAGACACCTTGTTCTCGAACCTCTGCAATGTGACCCAAAGGACAGGGCAATCATTGAAGTGGTTTTTCAGCTCAGTTCTTCTCCTGTTTAAACTAGCAGCGCCTGACTGGGACCAAGATAACAATCGATAGAAAATATAATTTCTGGATTCTGCCTGGTATTGTCACATGCTCCCTGAGAGTAATCTCAGGCAGTGCTGACACAACCATCTTGGAGAGACGTACTCCTGTTACTTTAAGACTCAGGGGGAAACTGGTTTTCCTCCCAAACTGAGCAAACAGGGTCAATATTGCCTGAAGGCACAGTTCATTTCTGCAAATGAGAAACTATTTATTTCACCAAACTAGAACCCAGTTATTACCCCAAATGAGAACCCGGGTATTTCTCCAAATGAGAACCTGGTTAATTCCTAAATAAATTAGTTTTATTTAGCAGTATAAAGTGTTAACTACAAGCACGCTTTTGGATATAATTTTTGAAGGGAGTAATTGTGTATTACCAGTCCTAATACAATACATGTCGAGAGCGGCCCTGGCATCTCAGAGCAGGCTGGTTCCTTGAAGGGAGATCGGAGATTTCCAGTTCTCATCGTTAGGGTGAGGGGAAGGGGATGCATCTTCCTTTGTTCAGGTGCTAATTTTTATACTCCATAAGTCACATAGCTATCAGTTAAGCCGGTTTCTGTTTTTCATCAACACATTGAGTTATGTCTTTACTTTATCATTGCTTTTCCCTTCTCTGGGTACCAGGGAGTCTTCTGCTCCAGATATGGTTGGATTGCACCGTAACAAGCCCTTTTATCCAGAGCAAGCTCTTTTTTCAGACTTTTTACAAAGAAACACCAAACAAGTTATACTAGACCTTTCTTTTTAGAAAAGCAGGTTACACAGTTATATAACCTGTGCATGTACGCCAACTATGTGAATGCACTCTAGCCTCCTTCTGTCCAGTCAGCTAGGCTTTGCAGGCATAAGGAACCATTTCAATCCTGTCAAGCAGCACAAGGCTGGACTGTCTCCATGCCATGGCACGGTCCTTAGCAAAATAACGTCTAATGCATTTGGTTACCTCGATCACTACTACTGCAACTGTAGTATAAAGCGATGATATACTAGTTTCTTTTTCTTGCTGGCTAAGTTAATTTTCTGAGCTGCAAATGCTCACGCTGTGATTACTCAGAAACAGACTCTGGGCTGTCTGCTTCGCAGCACTTCTGCAGGCTGGCCTGGGCCCCGTGAAAATGGCCAAGGCTGGCAACACCAGACTGATGAAGACAGCCCAGAAGGACCAGGGTGATGTAGTCTGGGCAGGAGAAGTCTGAAGAGGGATTTGATAACAGTCTTCACGTCCCTGCAGGGTGATGGCAGCGAGGATGGAGATGGGCTTGTCTCTGCGGCCGCAGGGGCCAGGACGAGGCGCAGGGCCTCCAGCTGCCGCAGGCGAGGTTTAGGCTGGAGACCAGGAGGGGTTTCTGCGTCTGAGGGCGGTCGAGCACCGGGACAGGTGCCCGGGGGAGTTGTGGCCTCTCCATCCCTGCAGGCGGTGATGGGCAGGCTGGACCGACACGTGTCTGGGCTGGTTTAGTCAGGGCTCGTCCTGCCTGGGGCAGGGGGATGGACTAGATGAACCTGCAAGGTCCCTGCCAGCCCTACTTGCCTTGATCTCTTGTGATCCTGAGTCATTACCTCACCTCAGAATGACCACGAGACACAAGAAATCATTAAAACTTGCCCATGAGATCCTGTGTAACATCCCTGCAGCCAGAGCCCCACGCCAGCCCTGTCCCAGGGGTGAGCCCAGCATCCAGACAGCCCTGGCCCTGAGCACGGGGCAGACGCAAGGAGCACAAGATGCCTGGGGATATTGGCAGCGGCAGCCCCAGCTCCCCCGGGTGCCCTCACGTTCCCCACGTGCGCTCCATGCCCGTGCGGGAGCCCTGCCATCACCGTGCGCTTGAGCTTCACACTCCAGTGAAACCCGTCTGTCCAGAAGCTTCCCCCATTGCACCGGGGGTCAGTCACTGCTGTGACCCCAGCGCTTTCTTGCTGCTCCAGCTCTGAGATGCAGAGAGGGGACCGGTGCGAGAGCGGGGAAGGCTGCCGGCACACAGCCCGAGCAGGAGTAGAGGCGCCTGAGCGGCCAGAGACTGTCTGGTTTCCGTGTGCTCAGCACGGCAGCATCCTTGGAGCCTTGGGACGGGGAGCGACAGGCCAGGAGGAGCCGACACGCAGCAGAGCAGAGCAGAGCGCGGGGGAGGGCAGCATGCCGCGGACAGCCAGGCAGACCGAGGGCAGCTCCCCAGGGCCGGGCGCTGCTGCCTGCCCGCACCAAAGGAGCTCTCTCGGGGGAGCAGGAGGGCACTGGGCTGCCTGCTAGCAGGGAAGGGGAAACGGTGGGGTCGGTCCAGTGGTGGGGGCTCAGCTGGTGACAAAGTCTGTGCAGGGAGCCTGGGGAGGAGGAAAGGTGGCCAGGGGCAGCAGCAAGCACACGCACGTCACAGCCTCAATGCACTCCGGGCTGCTCTCGCAGTCCTGGCAGCCAGAGGGTGGGTGCCATGGGGCTGCCCCAGGGACACCCCCACTGTTATTAGAGCCCCCCGGTATGGCCCATGCAGGGGTGTGGAGGAGCGAGCGCTGTGGTCCTGCACAGTGTGCGCGTGGGGCAAGGGGCAGCAATCGGAGCCCCGAGGGCCCTGCCCGTCGGTGTGACACGGCCCAGCAGCGCTGGGGAAGGGGCTGGTCTTGCTCCGGATCCCTGTCCCCACGCTCTGCCTCCGCTCACGGCTGGTCTCTCTCCCCGCAGGTAGCTGCCACCGGCCCCATGGCCGGGGCGAACCAGACGCAGGTGACAGAGTTCGTCTTCCTGGGCTTCTCCCACATCCTGCAGGGCCAGGCCTTCCTCTTCCTGGCCTTCTTGACTGTCTACCTCGTCACCCTGCTGGGGAACTGCCTGATCCTCACCCTCATCGTGCTGGATCCCCAGCTGCACAGCCCCATGTACTTCTTCCTCGGCCACCTCTCCTTCCTGGACATGTGCTACTCCTCCGTCACGCTGCCCAAGATCCTGGTGAACTTCCTGAGGCAGCGGCAGACCATCTCCTACCGGGAGTGCATGGCACAGATGTTCTTCCTCATGAGCTGCGCGGGTGCCGAGTCTTCATTGTTGACCGTCATGGCCTTTGACCGGTACACGGCCATCTGCAAACCCCTGCACTACACCAAGATCTTGAGCAGGGGCGTATGCATCTCCCTGGCCACTGTGTCCTGGCTCTGGGCCATCATGGGCTCGGCAGTCCAATCCTCCCTGGTCACCAACGTCTCCTTCTGTGGAGACAACCAGATCCACCACATCTTCTGCGACGCCCCTCCTCTGCTGAAGATCGCCTGCAGCGACACCTACATCAGTGAGATGGCTTTGCATACAGCCAGTGTCATCATGGGATCGATCCCATTTCTGCTCATCCTCATCTCATACATCTACATCCTGCTGGCCATCCTCCGCATCCGCTCGGACACAGGGAGGCGCAAAGCCTTTTCCACGTGTGCTGCACACCTGGTTGTGGTTGTTATCTACTTTGGGATGGGCAACCTGAACTACAACCGGCCCAGAGCTGGCTACTCCCTGGAGGTGGACACGCTGGTCTCCGCGCTTTACTGCATCCTCACTCCCATGCTCAACCCCCTCATCTACAGCCTCCGCAACCAGGACGTGAGGGGCACCCTGAGGAGGGCCCTGGGGCACCACAAGAAGGATAACGCATCCCCACGTGCACAGACAGGTGTGGACTAAGGTGAGGGCTGGGAGGAGACCCTGCCCCAGCACGACACCAAGGGCTCAGCCACGTGCTGATGGGGAAAGTCCCTGTTTGCAAAAGAGTCAGAGCAAAGTAGACCTGGCAGGGGCTCTATATATTAGATGACTAGATGAGAGCTCATCTATTCCCATGCCCTGCTCCAGTGCGGATCCACCCTGTCTACTCCAGCTCGGACACGCGTGTCTAGTCTGTAAAGACTCGCAGTGATTGCACCTGCTCCCTCTGGGATGCGTTGTTCCTAGCTTCCAAGGGACAAAGGATAGATGTTGGGAGTTCGGGCTGCGCAAGGCTTTGGATCCAGAGAAGCTTTGGATGCTTTGGCGTCCGAAGCAGCACGTCTGGATCGAAGCGCTGGCTTCGTTAGGCTTTCCAAAGCGGTTTGGAGCTTCTGAAGCACTTTGGAAAAGCTTCGGAGCCACTTCCCTGTCCTTATCTTCTTGAAAGTTTGCAGGCTTCGTGGCCTCAGCGGGGGCCACCATCCCTGCAGCTTTCCCCCTGCTGCACCTTAACACTCACAGTGTCACCCATGGCACGAGTTTTGCCTGTCAGCAGCTTGAGGTGCAGAGCCCCCCAAGCCCCGGCACCGATCTTCTTGAAACTTGCAGGCTTTGTGGCTTCACCAGGGGCCACCAGCCCTGCACTTTTCACCCCCCCACCCCCTGCTGTAACACCTAGATGTGACATGAGTTTTGCTTTCAAGAATTTTGGATGCAGTTC